CATGCATCTCACTAACTTTGCAGCTACTTATTGAATGATTTTAATTTTTTTTTTTTTCAGTACTGGGGATGGAACCCAGGGCCTTCACACAGAGTTACATCTCCAGCACTTTTTTATTTTATTTTTTTTTAATTTTGAGATAGGATTTTGCTAAGTTGCTAAATTGCCCCAGCTGGGGTCAAACTTTCAATGCTCCTGTCTCAGCCTCCCAGAGAGCTGCGATAACAGGTGTATACCACCTCACCACATTTATTTTTATTTTTTTGTTTGTTTGTTTATTTATTTATTTACTTTTGTGGTATCAGGGATCAAACTCAGGACCTTATGCTTGCGAGGCAGATGGAGACACCATGAGTTAATTCCCTTTATTTTTATTTATTTATTTTTGTTGTTGTTGTTGTTGTTGTTGTTGTTTTGAGACAGGGTCTCACTATGTAGTTCAGACTGCTCTGGAACTCACTGTGTAGCCCAAGCTGCTCTCGAACTCGCAGCAATCCTCCTGCCTCAGCCTCCCGAGTGCTAGGATTACAGGTATGTGCCACCACACCCGGCTAATTCCCTTTAAGTGGTACCCTGAAATCACATTCTAGTTGATCTGCATTATCCCAAGGTTCTGTATTTCAGCATTTACCAGCTGTGTACTAAAAGTTACTTGTAATACTAAAACCACTAAGTCACCCCTTGCTACCCATGAGGGACTGTTTTAGCACCCCTGCAAAATAACAAAATCTACTACTATGATCACAATGGTATATGAGGCCTGGGGATTTAACTCAGCGGATCTGCCACCTGCCTCGCAAGAGCAAGGTCCCAAGTTCGATCCCTGGTACAAAACAAAAAAATCAATGGTATATGAATAGTTGTCATACTGTCTTGTTTATAAAACAATGACAAGGGCTGGGGATTTAGCTCAGCAGCACAGCACCTGCCTGGCAAGCGTGAGGTCCTGAGTTTGATCCCCAGTACCAAAAATAAATAAATAAAACAATGACAAGAAAAAAATCTTGTTTGCACATGTTAGGTACAGATGCAAGTGTTTCAAACACTATCTTCGGTTCACTGGGTACACGGATGCGGAACCTACGGATTCAGGAGAGCAAGTGCATGTCTGGTGCTTCCACGGTCATCTGTGAAATACACAGACCAAGGGGCACTGAGGCTATCGCCACCCAAGTGCTCCCAGCTAAGGTCTCAGAGTGTAGGGAATGTCTCTTCACGAGAACTTGATCACACTTTTGTGCCTTTTATTTCACTGTTTAAACTGGCGCCCACGTATAATGCTGAAATGCTGCCTGGCGTTTCCAAGTGTGGGGGTACTGCGATGTGCCCTTATAAACACCATGTGTGTTAGACAGGCTTCGTTCAGGTATGAGTTATGTCGCTATTGGTATTGAGTTCAATGTTAATGCATCAATTATATTATGTAATAAGGTTTTTTTATACAGAAAAATACATAAAACAAAGTTCTGTATTGATCAGCTAATGTAAATGCAGTAACCAGAAGTTCAAAGGAAACCTAAACCTGTATCTCCCTTGGGGCGATGATTCAGTACTGACTAATTAAGTGTTTGCAGTGGCTTTATAGAAGTTAACTCCTGCAAATAATGACAGCTGATTATATTTGTTTTCTTATTACCTGTCGCTGCCACTTAACTCTGTGTGTTTTGTAGCTCCCCTCCCCTTCACTGCCAAATCCCTAGTGTCTGGCACATGGCAGCAGCTCAACAAATATCTGTTGAATAAACTTGGTAGAGCAGGGACATGGGAGGCGAGGGATGACCACCCACACTTTTTCTCCAGGGCCTCCTCACTGAGCCTTGGGCTGAATCCCTCTGAACAGAGTGGGGCTGAGAAGAGAAGAGGGGTGGAGCAAGTGAGTGCAGGAAGTCACTGGATGAGGCAATGGCCTTGGTGTGAATGTCATTAACCACTGGCTAGCAGAGCTCTTTGTGGGGTCATGAAAGTTACTCCCCCCCTTGTGTGTGTGTGTGTGTGTGTGTGTGTGTGTGTGTGTGTGTGGCTGCACACGCAAGCACACATTATAGTCTGAACCCAGGGCCCCACACCCTCCTTAGTTTTCTGTGAATTTTTCTTCACAAGTTCAGCCTTCTGAAGGAGAGATAGATTTTCTTTGGACCTTACTTAGACTGGAGAACAAAATAGAGAATTCTGGGGACCACTTACATAGTTGACTTTTTTTGCCTAGAAAATCGCTCCCACAGAATAATTCTATTCAGACCTTCAGGAATTGTGCTGCCTGCACAACATGGTTCTTGCCTCAGTGCTGCCCCCTCTCTATGTGCCAGGGCACTACATCCCTAGTCACACTTGGACGGTGGCTCTCACCCTCCAAGCCCACGCCCCAATACCAGCTACCTCTGAATGCCTACTACCTGCCCAGCCCTTCACCAATGGCTGACATGCATCATCTCACTGTCATGAATATGCTGGAAACTGAGGACTGTGAGTCTCATTTTACAGATGAAGGAACTAAGGCTCAGAAAAGCATTGCCAAGAGTCTATAGACCAGCTGGTATCAGACTGCAGTATCTGGAGGCAAAGGTCTGACAGGTGATCCCCCCAACTCATACTGCCCCCTTGTTCTCCACTCCCTCCCCCTCACTGGCTCAGTGTCAACCAGTGGTCACTCACCATGCTGGGTGACAAAACTGATGCAGGCATCCACGATGATGGGGATGTCACCTCGGCTCATCTGTTGCTCCTGCAGCCCTGTGCCTCCTCCACCAGCTGCCCCCTCAATGGCTGCATTCCATGCCGCGAAGTCCAGCCGGCCCTCCCCCTGCAGATACAGGGTCCTGGGACCCAAGAGGCCTGAATCAGTCAGCTCTAGGGTCCTCAGACTGAAAGGCTCAGAAGCCACCAGCAGGGGGCAGCAACATCCAATCCAGACCATCCCTGAACTGGGGAAGCAACTTTGAGAAGGAGGCAGCACCCCAGCCCTAGGGGTGGAGACAGTGAGCTGGACTCCAGAAAGGTGGGTCCAGGGTCAAAGGCAAGAGCAACATTTACCTTCCTGTCTCCACGAGGACCAAATGCTCTTTTTTGTCTGGAGTGCCAGCTGCAGAGACCACACCTGGGAGGAGAATCACTGGAAATTATCATTATTGTCATCTCCAGCATAATGACAAATATTCAGTGCTTAAAATATGTAGGGGTAAGTCTAAGAGCCTTACAAACAATGCTCCACTAAATCCTATGAGGTAAACCTGATGCACACCTATAATCCCAGCACTCAAGAGGCTGAGGCAGGGGGATCACTGCAAGATTGAGGCTAGCCTGGGCTATGAGTTCAAGGCCATCCTGAACTGCATGGTGAGACCATGTCCAAAAAAAAAAATTTATATATATATATCCTATGAGTAAACTACTACCATCTCCACGACACAGGTGATATTGGTGTATTACATCTCAGAAAGTTTGTGACTTGCCTCACATTGCTTTCTATAAAAGGACAAAGCAGAACTTGGATACAGGACTCTGATCTCCAAAGTCTGAAAACATTATTCCATTCTCTTTCTCTTTTAGCAGGGAGGATACCCAGTTCCCTCTCCCAGCTCCCGACCAGTAAGTGACTCCAAATAATAACAATGGCATTTATATAACCTTTATTGAGTACTTATAAGATGCTCCCTGCAAGGCTCTGTGATAAGTGTTTGCATGGATTACCTTACTGGAACTTCACTGTAATCCTCTTAAGAAGGTCTCATTATCATGCCCATTTTAAAGATGAGGAAACTAAGGCACAGAGAAGTTAAGTAACATATCCAAGGTTACACAGGTAGGAAGCGATGGAGGTAGGGTCTAAATCTGTGCAGGTCAATTTCAGAGTTTGCACCTAAGTCATTACATTCTACTCTTTCCCACAGCAATTCTCAATTTCAAAACGTCCCTTCCCACCCGCCCTATGGCCACCCTTCAGCCTTGTCCCCACCCGTGCTCACTGATCTCCTGCAGCCGCCGTAAATGCACCATGTCCTCAGAGGCTGGTGGGCCAGGGCCTGGTGCTGGACACAGGAACAGGTGGTCACCACGAAGCAGGCCGAACGCTGACAGCCAGTCACCCGGGGCCAGGCTCGTGTGGGAGGGCGAGCGCAGCCACAGGCGGCCCAGCCGCTGCAGCCCGGGCCCCAGCAGCTGGTGACAGCTCAGCGGGGAAAACCACTGTGGAGACAGCAGGGACAGGGACAGGAGAGGGGTGGGGCGAGAGTCAGGGGTGGGGAGAAATGAGTAAGCAGGTGGGGAAATCCCACTCCCCAGGGCAACTGCTGCCCACTCAGCAAGCCATGTTGGAGGCTCACTTGAAGGCAATGCTTCCCAGGCTGCCTGTGATAAAATAAAGGACAGGGGCTTTTTCTTTTCTTTCTGTTTTTGTTTGGTTTTTTGAGACGGGGTCTCACTATGTAGTCGAGGCTGACCTGGAACTCACTATGCAGCCCAGGCTGGTCTGGAACTCATAGCAATCCTCCTGCCTCGGCCTTCTGAGTGCTGGGATTACAGGCGTGCAACACCACGCCCAGCTTTTTTTTTTAATCAAAACATTTATGGGTACACTCTAGATATACATGACGATCACCTTTTTCATAGGGAATTGTAGTAGTATATATCTTGTTGCTTCTTTTTTTCCTGTTCCCCTCCCTTCCTTTCAACCCCGCTTCCCCTTATTTACAAAAACTCTTGTGTCCATTTTTTCTGCTATTCTTTTTTTCTCATTTCTTCTTTCCTTTTCCCATCCCTCCTTCTTTGTTCCTCTTCTCATTTGAACATTTTCTTCTCATTTCCCAATATCTATTATACATTTTGGTTCTTATTTCCACTTTTAGTTTCTCATAGTAGAGAAACAATATGGTATTTAATCATGTGTGTTCGATTTATCTCCCATAAGAGTATGGTCTCAAAGTGCATCCATTTAGCCAGACATATCTCAAGTGTATCCTTCTTTATGGCAGAGTCGTACTCCACTGCCTTTGAAAAAAATGCACATCTTGCCAGGCATGGTGGCGCACACCTGTAATCCCAGCACTCGGAAGTCTGAGGCAGGAGGATCACCTCAAGTTCGAGGCCAGCCTGGAATACACAGTGAGATCCTGCCTCAAAAACCCAAAAATAAGTAAGTAAAAATGAAATAAAATATACCAATAAAAATAAAACAAAAAACCTTATCTTCTTTATCCAATCATCAGTTGATGGGCATTTCTTCCTTTTTTTAAAGTTCTAATCTGTCACTAACCGATACTTTTGTTAAAAAAAAAACAATAAAAATGAATTGCCAGGGGCTGGGGATATAGCTAGTGGTGCCACACCTGCCTGGCAAGTTTAAGGTCCTGAGTTCAGTCCCCAGTGCCAAAAAAAAAAAAAAAAAAAGTTGAAAAATTGAAGTGAAAAGAACAAAGGCATATAAGTTTAACTTGTATAATTAGATTCACCATAAAATTACTCTGCCAAGTTGCTATAAAAGATTTGAGATGTTCCCTCTCAAACGCTTGCTTATCCTGTCAGGGGACCGATATGATACGACAGTCTTCAGATTACACGCTGGGCAGCACTACTTTAGAGGATGGGGTAGAGAGAGCAGCCTGACTGAGGAGGCCTCAACAGAGGCTCGAAGGGATTTGAAGACGGATTTAATGTAAGGAGGCGCAGGAGGGCTGGCAGAGCGCTCAGGAGCCAGAGGGGCTGAACATTTCCCATAGAAGTGGCAGGAGCTACAGAGGTGGCTGGGGAGGCCAGGAGGTGGCCCCGAGACCTGGGCAGGAGAAGTCACTGGTGAGCTGCAGGGTAGCAGCTCCAAGAGTCCAGGCAGAGAAAGGTAGATGCAGGGGTTAAGGAGCAAGTGCAGGGTGCGCACGACTTTCTGAGAAGCTGTCAGGCAGGGAAGGAGGGCACCAGGGTCAAAAGGTGAAGCCAGAGCAGAATTTAAAGAAAAGCCGTTTTAGGATGGGAGGGATTGTCGTCATCACCATCATCACCACCACCATTAGTATTCCAACGCCCACGTGTGGAGTGTGGGGGCCTCACATGTCACTTAATCCTCACCCCTGGGGGGTGAGTCTTTTACACCCACTCTGCAGACGTGGAAAAACTCCCACAGCTCAGAGTTGTAGGACTCAAATCCCAGGATGTCTGACTCTGGACCTGAACTTTGGATTCTGAGATCTGGGTCCAGAATGAAGAGATGGGCTTGTGTATGAGGGGAAAAGCTGAGACAGATGAAAGTAGCTCTGGGCCGGGTGGGGGCCTGCCGGAGAACTGAAGGGCAGGGTTAAGGTGACAGGCAGCACGGGCACCTTCTCTCTGGGAAGAGGCTGGGGCACTGCGAGAACCGGGCATGAACTTGAGAGATGGAGGCTTAGTTTTTAGTTCTGTGGTCTGCTACCTCCTAGCTCTCTGACTCTGACTACATGACTGCATAAGCTCTAACACTTAGTTCCTGTAAGAGGTAAGGTTAACAATCCTTGGAAATCAGATGAGATATTAAGTGGGCAGTGTGTAACACAGGGACAGGCACAGAATAAAGGCTCAGTCACTCTTAGCTGCTTAGGAGAGGAAGTGGCAAGAGAGGCTACAGGAATAAGAGAGGGCAGGAAGGGGTCGGTGGGGACAGGGAGTCCAGGGGCTGTTGGGTAGGAGTCTCGGCTGGCTCACCTTGCCCACAGCGCTGGTCCAGGCCTCCAGTCTGTCAGCTCCATCTGTGCAAAAGTGTTGGACCCTCCCTCCAGTGAGGATAAGCTCAAAGGAAAAGGGGAACCTGCAGAGAAGACCGCGTCCGGGAAGACGGTGAGGGCCCAGCAGGGGCTGGCAGGCTGGGCAGAGGAGGAGCAGAAGGGCTGTTACCTGTCTAGGTCACCCGGGTCGATGGGCGGGGGGTTCACACCCAGGCATACAATGTCCTGGGGCTGCAGGAGGCTGAGGGGTTCAGGGCTGCTTTCTGATGCAAACATTTCCAGAGCTGCTCCCAAAACGCACCACAGACGGGGAGGCGCTGAGCGGAAGAGAGACTGTTGAGGGGCAGCAAGCCTCTGCCCCCTCCATCACATATTCTACATGTTCCATTGATCAGACGTTTATTCTATACCACTGATTCTATGATGGGGTATTACAGTCAGTCCTATTTTGCAGATAGGGAAGCGAGGTTCAGCTCCAGCTGCTTGCCCACTGCAGGTAAGTAGCAGACCTTGCATTTGACCCAGATGGTCTGACTTCAGAGCAAAGGCTCTCAGTGCTGTCACCTAGCATGGTCCCTCTTCCACCCCAGCACCGTAGTACACTTCAGCACAAGGCTCCACTCTCCCACCCCAGCCTGACATCCCTGTCAGTGTACAGTACATGCTTGTCCCACTTCCTTCCCATCCTCCCATCCCTTGGCTCTTACTAACCATCCCGGCCCTTCCGAGGGGGTGGGGGTCCAGCCTTGTTGCTGACAGGACCACAGTACAGGAAGCTGCTGTAAGTGGCAGGCACCACCACCTCATTGTATACACCAGGGGATGGATCTGCAAGGGGAAAAGGTGATTGGGCGAGGCCAGTGCATGGGATGGCCTCAACTCTTTGGGCGAGGAATCCATTGAAGGAAGACAATGGCCCTGACTCCATGGGCAGCATGGCCAAGTAAAACCTAGTGGGATGAGAACCCGCGCTATCCACATTGGAAGAAGGTGGCGGGAGATGAGAAGACAGGAAGCCTCTAGCCTGGTACTTGTCCACTGTCCCTCTCCACCAGCCAGCCAAGGCAGTCAATTTTGGACGGAGACCACAGAGCATGGGGCATCCTGTGTTGGGCCAAGACCTTACCGATGGAGACCGTGGTTAAGGTGACCACTCTTCTGAGTGATCACACTGTCCTGAGGTGCATGAGACCTGACCTACGGGTTGACTGTGTCAGGAGGGGACAAGAACTAGCACCTGGCACATCCTGGTTCATCCAATGACCTCAGAGTTGTCTTGTAACCTTGGGAAATAGGCCCTGGGGGACCTGAGGGGTTGGGAAACACGCTGAGCTACTGGGACCAATGGGCAATGGGTAAATTGGGGCCCCCTGGAAAAACTGAAGCAAAGATTAGAGCAGAGAACTCTAGGAGGGGAGAGAGATGAGGCGCTGGGGGATAACCTGGGGGTAGAAGGCCAGGCAATCTACCATCGAGGGCTGAGGGGGACCAGGGCTCCTCGCCCTCATAGGCCTCAACATAGAGGAGCTGGGTCATGTTCTTCAGCAGGTTGGGTCCTGCCACAGCTGCACACAGTGCCTGCAAGGAGGGAAGCGCCTCTATCAGCCCCAAGCCCAACTGCAGAGCCTTGGAACAGTACTCCGATTACCAAACCTGCCCCCACTGCCCATTTCAACTGAGAGACTGCTTGTCCCTCCCTCCGTCATCGCCAAACTGTCCCCCCTACCTGGAGAAGCTGGCTATGATCTGGATACTGGGAGTGGGGCTTCCGGAAGAGACCCAGCCGGTACTTTCGGGAGATGAATTCTCCCCGGGAGCCAGGGGTCGAATCTGGATTCAGCCCCTCACCTGGAGGTAATGCTGCTGCCCAGAAGCGGTTGGCACGATCATTTCCCAGGACAATGAACAACTGTAAGGTGACAAGGGGCAAAGACAAGTGATCAGAGCTCAGACATCCTGATACCAATCCTGCCCCCACACTGGTCTTTTAAATTTTTTTCCCCTCAATACTGGGTATTGAACTCAGGGCTTTTACACTGAGTTACAACCCTGGCCCTTTTTTAAAAAAATTTTCTTAATTGATAAATTGCTAGTTTGTCCAGGCTGGGCTTGAATTACGATTCTTCTGCCTCAGCCTTTGAGAGAGCTGGGGTTACAGGTGTGCATCACCATGACCATAGGCCTTCTCTTGGATGCTCCCTTTCCTCCTCACCAGACCCCTCACCTGCACCATCTCATTAGTCCAGACACTCGTGTCCAGCTTCAGGCTCTGCACTTTGGAGATCCCGGAACCCAGGGCCCGGTGCTGACCTGTTAGGGGGTAAGTGTTCTGTAGATTGGTACTCGGCACCTTCCTGGCCCAGCTGCCCTCCCTCTCCCCATTTGGGCTTGAGACTCCAGCCCTCACCTGCACACTGCTTGCAGATGACCACCCCCAGGTTGATGGCCGCCCAGTCTGGGCGGGACGCCCCACAGTCTGCACAGTGCCGGTTTGCCCGATTTGACCAGATCTTCTCAGCCACCTCGTAGTCAGACAGGGTCTCGGTTACTGCTTCCTGCAGAGCGGCCGCCCAGCTCTGCCGAGACCCCCCAGACTCTGCTGTGAAGCTGAGGGGTGGACAGCCAGTCCGTGGGCATGGACCTCCCCTCTGTCCCATCCCAGTGACCATTTCTGCAGGAGCTGCCAAAGGCCACATCTGGGCCAGCCCAGACCCTCCTGACATCTTGACCTTGCCCGTTGGACTCCCATCAGTGCATGTCCACTGACAATCTGCTGAGGTGGCCTCCGGTCCTCTGCACCCCTGTGCCTCCCCGCTTGCCTCCCACCAGTCCGGGCCCCACCTGAAGCAGCGATGGGGTGTGAGCAGGTCGAAACTTCGGCTCTTAGTCTCACGGACACTGCAGCCTTGCAGTTCGATGAAACAGATCCCGATGCCCAGAGAGAAGGCCTGGCGGTGTCGGGGATATGCACTGTGAGAGATCAGAATGGGCCAGGCCAGGCTCCTGAGCCCTTCCCTTCCCTCCTCACCTGCTCACTCTTGTACAGGGCCAGCTCTCCAGGGCTCAAGGCAGCAAACACCTTGGCCTTGTGTCCACGGAGCTCTAGCATGCCTGTACGGAGGGGTCTGGGTGGATGGGGCGCTCGGGGGTGGCCCAGGAGGCGCTGCTCCTTCAGGCAGGATTGCAGCGTAGAGCACCACACATCCCGCTGAGCTGGTGGGGGACAGGAAGCAGGTTAGCGGGCGCATGCTCACAGCCTTCTGCCTATCGGCCCTGACCAGAGGGCCCAGCCTCACCCTCGCTCTCGGTGCGGAACACGAACACCCTCTGAACTGTGATGACCTGGAATTTGTTGTCCTTGCTGCTGCGGGTCATCTCAATGGCAGTCAGGGGGATCACGCCCTTGGGGAAGGGGTCCTGGAGAGAGAGAGAGAGAGAGAGAGAGAGAGAGAGAGAGAGAGAGAGAGAGAGAGAGAGAGACCTCTGGGGACAGAAACTGAGCTGTGTGCACTGAGTCCGTGGTCCACCACCAGCTTTCATGAGATCCACATTCAATTCACAAGCAATGGTTCCAGGCGCTAAGCCAGCTACCTTGAATACTAACAACAGGCAGATGGTGGCCATCCCCCCACCACGGGCTTCCCTCCTTCCAGTCCTGAACATCACTGAGCCCTCCCTCTCCCACTTCTAGTCTCCACACAGCATCTCCAGTCCCCCACCTTATCACTGCCAAAGTACATCAGACTCCTCCCGTTGAACTGCACAAAGCGCCTCTGGAAGACGTAGTTTCTGAAGAAGGAAAGAGCCAAGATCAGTTCGTACTGAGGGTGCATGGGGTGGGGAGATCACAAGGCCTAGAAGCACCTGGGACCTCTCCCTCCTCATCTCTCAGTCTTCCTCTTCTCCCTCCCATTCCCAGCAGCCTCACCCCTGAGGTGAGAGTTTGTCTAGCCAGCCACTGAGCAGGGGCATGGGGTGGTCTGCTGTGGAGGAGAAGCTGGCATAGGGTGAGATGAGGTCATCACTGGCCTCCTCTGTGTCCAGGGTAGGTAGTGAGAGGATGGAGTCCCCAGGTAGCTCAAGGCTGGCATAGCCAGCATCTTCTCGTGCCTCCAGATACTGCCTGCTGAGCCTTTGGGAGCCAAGACACAGAGAGACACAAATTAGACCCAGTACCTTGGACACCATCTTTCTAATTTCTCCACCCCACCCACAGCACCCGGTAGAATATCTCGTGGGTCCTAGATCTGCTTTTGAAACAGGGAATAGAGAGTTTGGGAGCTCAAAAGATTAGCATGGAGCTTCTTCCTAGAGCATACTTGGAGTTTGTTCATTTAACCTTGGAATTCTAATGGGAAATTTTCAGTGCCTCTTTTCTTTTTTTTAGTTCCTCTTTTCTGACCTTAGCATTACTTGGGTAAAAAACTAGAGAAAGACTCAGTAAATGGCTTCCTGCCATGGCTGCTTACAGCTAATGAACCTGTCTTATTCATTCTTTCTCCAAAAAGCTCTTGACCTTCTCTCCTTGGACCAAGCTTCCATCAGCTCTCACTGGGGGATACAAATTGTCTAACTGGTCACCTATGTTCATTCTTACCCTCCCTCCCACAATCCATTTCCCATAGCCACTAATGCTTTTTTTAAATAATGCAAATAAGATTCTTCAACTTCTCTGCATGAAACTCTTCAATAACGTTCCATTTGCACTTAGGCTAAACCCAAATTCCTTACCATGGGCTGCAAGGACTCACAACAAGATCCACAGCTACGCCCTGACCTCGTGTTGTATCAGCCTCACCCCTGCTTACTTGTCTTCCTTCTTCAGCCTGCACACTCTGTCCCCTCTGCCTACGGCACACTTCCTCCCCTGCTTCCCTGGGTTGCTCCGTCTCATCCTTCAGGTCTTGGCTATGTCATCTTCTTAGAGAGGATGTCATTAACCTCTTTGAGTAGATTCCTCTGTTATTTTGGTGGTTCTCAGCCTCAATAGCACTGCAACACTTAAACTTTTGAAATTAGCGGTACATGGGCTTCGTAACAGACGCTTAAATTTGAATCTCTGGGAATTGGGCCCAACACCCGTAGTTTTGAAAGTTCTCCAGGCTCTGGCACAGCTAAGGTTAAAAGCCACAACTCTACCTGATTTGCGAGGGGGTACTGGGTATTGAACTTGGTTCCTCACGCTTGCGAGGCAGGAGGTGGGAACCTCTGAGCTAAATCCCCAGCCCCATCTACCTGATTTGTTTCTGAGTTCGCTGAGAAGCTGAAGGAATCAGACAAGAGCCCCCACAGATTGCCTGCATATCTACCCAGTTTCATGCCCATACTCTGCCTTCCTCCTGTGACGGTGATAAACACTTCTGTCTAAAGCCAGCCTATCCACTGTGCTCTGACTACTCCTACTTCTCCAGACCTTCTCTCTCTCCCTAAGTAGCTGACTGTCCCTCTCCACCTGATCATTCTCACTCGCTTGGAAACATACATGACATTACATCCTACAGAAACACAATCTACTTGGCTCCACTTCCTCTATCAACCATCATTCCAGCTCTCTGCTTTTCTCTGCAGAAAAACCCAACAGTGTCTTCGCTGTATTTCTATCTCCTCTCCTTCTATTGTTTTAGAAACCGACTCTGAACAGGCTTTCACTCCACCACTCCAAGACTGCCCTTCTCCAAGTCCCCAGTGACTTCCACGTCGCCAGTTCCAGAAGTCGACTGTCAGCCCTCTGTTACTCAGCAGCAGCCCTCTGGGCAGCACCGAGCACAGCCCGCCTCTCCTTCCTCCTTTTGCATTTTCTTCCTCTGGCTCTTACGATATCATACTCTCCTGGTTTTCTTTTTCCTTCATTAGCCTCTTCTTTTTTTTTTTCTGTCTCTCTTCCTGATTCTTCCTCTTTTCTCTAACCTCACTACAGGAGAAGTTACCAGGGCTCTGAGCTGGGTTCTTGTCTCGGTTCGTACTCAGTCCTAGTTAGGTAAACCCATCTAAATGCCCCAGTGCTCTCTTCCAAACTCTCAACATGTATAGCCAACGGTCTATTGATCAGCTCTTTTTGAGTGCATAATATGCACTTCAAAATCAACATGTTCCAAAAAACTGCGGATCTAACCCCACCTCCCACCTACTTTATGCACAGTCTTCCACATCTCAGACCATGGCAACTCCATGAAATGCCAGTTGCTCAAAACAGTTCTGTCCAACATAAATCAATGTAAACCAATATGTAATTTTAAACTTTCTAGTAGTGGCATTAAAAAATTAAAATAAGCAGGTGTGGTTAATTTTAATAGTATATTTTATTTAACCCAATGTATCCAAAACGTCAACATTTTAGCAGGTAACCGGTATAAAAGTTACCGAGATCATTTACATCTGTATCTATGATACTCATCCAGTAATGCTTTTGTTACTAAGTCTTCACATACAGTACATCTCAATACTGGCCACATTTCATAAGCTCAGAAGTCACTGTGGTTGCCATACAGGACAGCACAGGCTCAAACTAACCCTCTCAAGGTCATTCTCAACTGCTGTCTTCTTCTCACACCCCAAGTTAATTTGACAAAATACAGCCACCTCTCAACATCTGCACGCCCATCCCAGTCCACTGAGACCTCTCATCTAGATGACTGCAGTGACCTCCAGACTGGTCCCTCTGGTCCTTCCTTCTACCCACCATTCCCAGCACAGCAACAAGTCAAAGACCCTCCAATGGCTTCCCATCCCACTTGGACTAAAAGTTAAAGTCCCTATAAGGTAACCCAAGGAGGCCACTTTCAGCCAGCCCACCCATCTGCCCCAGCCTAGCTGCTCCCTCCTTTGTGCTCTGGCACCCCCGGGACAGGTCCTTCTTGAGTCCTCCCCATCCCTGGTTCAGCCTTCCCCTAAAAATGTACATGGCTAACTCCTTCAGTTCCTTCTTATTCAAATATCATCTTAATTTTCCAATAGTCCTTAGTGAAAAACTGCAGTTCCCTCACCTTGTCCCCCAGCCCTCTTACCCTTACTTATTTTTTTCCATGGTACTTACACCATTTAATAAGCTATAAGACATAACTTATTATGTCTATTAACTATCTCCCCTACAAGGACAGGGATTGCTATGTATACAGATCTCCTATGACTCTACTTCTGGCACATAACAGTTGCTCAGCAAGTATCTGCAGAATAAAAGAAAGAAATATCTTCTAATTTTTAACTATGTATTTACTTGTTGTCTGCTTGTTTTGTGTCCTATCTGCCCACTGGTCACACCCTGCCTGGGGCAGCACTGCTCTGTTATAGTCATCCTGTACCTTCAGTGCTTGGCTGGCACACAGCGGACACTCAGTGCACATTCATTGAGTTGTACACATGGAACTGCCAGCTCAACTGCTCCTCAAGCTTCCCCTGTGCTCTGATCATGGCCCTCTTGAGCACTCACCTGTGTTCAGCCCTGTCCTGACAGGCACCTCTGCCTTCTCTTCTGTCAGGGGTGCCTGAGACCCCCACAGGCTGGACACCATAGTACAGACAACCAGGATCCATGATGTGCACTGGCAAGGGCAGAGGGGGAAGAGAGAGGGAAGAGGAGTTCAGGTCTGAAGTCCGAAGAGACTAGCCCTCTCCTGAGCCCAGGATAACCCACATACCTACCTGTTCCTGTTGTGGGCCTGAGGGTAGGGGTAGGGGCATGGGTGGGAGCAGCTGTCTGGGAGCTTTCTGAGCCCCTGAAAAGGAAGTGTATTGGTTACTGAAGGAGAGAGGATGGAGAACTCCCCTTGTTCCCTTCTCCCCTAACCCCCTCTTCTGCCCAGCATCACATCCCTAGGGAACCAACCCTACTCACTTGTCCTGAGCAGCCTGTGGCCCGCCTCTTAAGTCCAGGCCAAAGTAGATGGCATTGGGCATCATCTCTATGGTTTTTAAGGTTGATAGCTGCTCAGCAGAGGATGTAGGAAGAGGAGGCGACCTCGAGCTGGACTCTGAGCTTCTGGACACTTCTGGTGTCCAGAAGGTTGGGCTCAGCCCGGGCCTCTGGGGGGCAGTAGGGCCACTGAGCCCACTAAACACTGTCCTGGGCTTGGGTATGGGCTTGGAGGGCTGGGATTGGGGGTCTGGGCTGTGGGATGGCTCCATGGCTCTATCCAATTTGGGATCCAGGGAGTCCTCCGCAGTGCTCGCCTGCAGCAGGCGAAGAATGCGTTTCCGGTGCCCTGTGGCGCTGATGCCCATCTGCCTCAGCTCCTCGTGGCCCAGGCCTTGTGCTGCACCTGCTGTAGCCAGGCCATGCTGCCGAAACGTGTCTGCGTACTGCTCCAGATGCACCTTGGCCAGCCACACAGTGATGTCCAGGTCCTGAGGGGCAGCCATGGGGGCTCAGGCCATTGCTGGGGGGAGGGGCAGGGTGAAGGGAGGGCTCAGGCTGCGATTCCCCCTCCCTGCCACAAAGTGAGGCCTGGATAGGGTGTACCAGTTTCTAGTCTTCCTTCAAAGAAAATGCCTGAGATCTACAGGCAGAGCCTTCCTAGAATACTAGAAAGAACTTTCTCCTTACAAGACAGTCTCTTTATGTGTAGCTGAGGAAACTGAGGCCCAGAGAGGTGGAAGGGACCTTCCCAGGCTTACAAGTGGTGCTAGTGTTGGCCCCCAAGCGCCTGCCCTCCCTGAGTCTGGGTCAAAACTCTGCTCCTGCCTACTGCACATTCAACTGAGTAGGCTTGGGACAAGATGCTAGAACCCTGCGGAGCAGGGTGGGGTGAGAAGGCGGGCATCGATGTGGCCAGATCCAGCTATGGCACAAGGTGGGGAAATAGGCAAGCTAAGTAGGGGGAGGAGATAATGACCCCACTCCCCCTGGTGTCCAGAGCTGGGGCTTGGGCTGGACGTCCTAATACTGGTCATTCCCAGTTTCTCCTCCCTTTCCACCTATTGTCTCTTCTCAGACTTCCTTCCTGTCCCTTTAGCCTGGCCACCCCCACATCCTGCCTGCCTCGGTCAAGCTGTTCAGAGAGCTCTAACCAGTCCCAGGGTGGGGGGTCTGGTCCAGAACAGGCGCCACTTAGGGAATAAGAGTGGGTAGAGAACTGGGCCAGAGAGATGAGGGATCAGAGGCCAGGGGCAGACCACAGATTTTCTCCATCGTCCACCCACCTTGCACGTGTGTACACACACACCCTGTAGGCACTTGGCACACACCCACACACACCTGCTTGCCCCAAGTCTTCCTTCTCCGAGCCCACCTTCTCCCTGTCTGCGCCCTTGGGCTCAGGTCTCTAAATCTCATCGGGCAGCCTGGTCTATTCCCTTGACCTATCTGTCTCCCCTGAGTTTTACCTCTGCCCTGTCCCTGTCCCTATCCCATTCCATCTTGATCTCTACCTCTAAAGCCATCTTTGTCCCTCTCCTTGTCCCACTGTATCCTGCTCTCCATCACTGCCTCATTGTTCAGTTCTAACTATGTCTTAAGGGCCATCCATGTTTCCGACCACCTCTGACCCTGGGTTCCTGGCTCTGCCTCTTTCTTGCCTGCGCAGCTCTCTCCCAGTTGCTCTCTGTCCTTGTTGTTCTCCTGCTTGGTCCCCAAGCCAGGGCCAGGGTGCTGCACATCGGGCCGCAGTCAGGGCTGTTTCCCTGGGCCAGCGAGCGGTGAGGCGCTCTCGGGACTGGGGGAGGGGGAGGGGACGGGGGGAGGAGGTCGCAGGGAGGGAGGGAGCA